ATAGATATGTAACTATTGAAATTACAAATTGATCTGCATTTAAACATTTATTACTTGAGTACTTTTCCTAACACGCACACACACAGACAGACAGACCAAAAACAGGAAAACGGTGATGTATGAAAGACAGAGCAGTGTGGGGGAATGTAAGTGTGCCGGTGTAAGATAAGCACACCTTACAGACAACCAGAGAGTTAGCAAAGTGGGAGGCCAGTGAGACAATGACCTTAATGGAAAAGAAAAATGACACAAAAAGAACCAGAAGCTTTTCTGAGTGGTATGGTTGAAACATATGTAGCTGAGAAGTAGCAGCAACGCTTGCATCTAAAATAGCGACAATAGCAAAATCTGCTTCAGATGCTGATTCCTCTTTGACGCTGTTAGTTTGTGAACAACACCTACTCAGACACACCCCACTTCAATATGGATAAGGCAGAAGTTAAAGGATAAAGACAATAAGGGCGCCAAGATGGAAAGGAAAAACAAAGTCATGAACTAAAAAACTACAACTTATGATGGTATGAATGCTTCTTAAAATAAAAAAGAAAAGAAAAGGAAAAAGTAGTCAGTGAAGCGTGCATTAATTTTCTTTTTTCCTGTGTAAATGCTAGAAAGACTTCAGACATCTGTAGACCAAAGTATCAAAGCAGGAAGCTATGCAAAACTTCGATCTGTATGAGTTGAGAAATATGACTGGGTATTTTGCAACAGTTATCTACCATACAGTCACAGCAGAAGATAGCCACCAAGGATAGAGGAAAAGACACTTATTAATCAAAGAAAAGACAAAGCAGGTATGGAAAAGTCACCTGAAAAAGCAATGAAATGGAAGCGTTGGCAGTGCATGAGTTTGACAAACAAAAGAAAGAAAAAAAGAGCATCATAAGAAACACAAAAGAAAAGAGGGGCAATGGACAACTTCTCACCTGAAGATTTATTCCTCATCAGGCGAACCTCTCTCGGCTGGATCCCCTGCTCTTGAAGTTGTGCACGAATCTATGGACAAAGCAGAATTCTAGCTTCAAACTTTTCACAAACAACCTGCGCATCAACTGGCCATTGTTGAGACAAACACGCACCTCGTTGGCAGTGGCACTGGGTGGCAACATACGAAGCATTATGATGTTGCTGGGCCGCTGATTATGGTCGAGCTCGGCACGGTAATCCTGGTCTCTCTGATCCAACTCTTTGTGGGACAGGTCTGGGCCAGCATGCTCCTCCATTCTCATTGGAAATGTCTACACATCCGCCACAAATGAATAACCAAAACCAAACAACAATTAAACGTTATTGTAGTAATTATAAAGATGGACTGATATTGACTTACCCTTCTCTTTCCTGCTCCGGGACGAGAAAACCTGTCATCCTCTCGCTGTCTGCCTGTACCGAATTCCATCTGCTCGGAATGGGAAGCACCACGACCCCAGCTGCTTTCCCTGCTTCCTGAATGTGGGCCACTGTTCTCCGGGAAGCCTGTTCCACCTTTCCCCCGTCCCCTTTCCTGAAGGCCAGGCCGTAACTGCTCAAATTCCTGCCTGGAGCCCTCCTCCTCTCGCTGGAGTATAGGATGGGCTAGATCAGGTTGTGAGGTGTGAGGGGACCACAGTAGCCCTTTCCCCTCACGCCCTGCTTCTCCTCTACCATCTACTCTCTGATGAAACCCCGGATGCTCCTGCAGACAACCTGGTGAGAAGTCATGGATACCCAGTGACTGCTCATCGCTGCCATACTGTCTATCACCCTCCACTCTGACATCAAAGCCCGTGCCTGCCTCCTCATCCTCTTGGCCATAGCCACGATAGTCCATGTCCCGGAAATTGTGATCATTGTGAGTGCCACCATAGCGACCCAGGCGATCACCTCGCCCACCCCTGCTGACCACAAAAAAACTGCGTGAGAGACTTGTGTGATAAAATGCGCGAAAAAGATGTCAAAGTCACATTAAACTCACCTCCTCTCATAGTCCATGCTGATCCACTTACTCTGCCCCTAGTGAGTCGTTCTTCTGTTTACAGAAATACAGCACACAGACACACAGCACTTCAGATGAAACACGTTATAGAGCCACGCTACAATCGTACAACCTCGTGAGCAGGTACCTTAAAGTCATAGGCTGTGCAAAGTGTGAATAATTAATTAATTAAATTGATTTTAATTTTTAAAACCTTGCACAATCCAATGACTTCTCAACTTTGACATATCAAAATGACTTCTCTCAGTGCTTCACAGACTACTAACTAAAAGCCACAAATAAACAAACAGCAAAATAACCCTGCTCCATTGATAAAAAATAAATAAATAAACTGAGGGCGCAACGCACAGGATCAACCCGCAATCCGAAAAGGAGTAATCAACAACAATGACGTGTGACGGTCAACTGCGTTAGCGGCCAAGCTAACTATGTTAGCTAGCTAGGTTGGTTAGCTAGTCCAAGAGGCTACATTCTCTCTAAACGACTGTCAGCAGCTAGAAATACGAGTGCAGTCTTGTGTGAAATTTGAGGGAAAACTCACCGGTAACTCATGTAACCTACAATTGTTCTGTAAAGATCACGCTGAAGCCCAGGTAAATGGTGTGTTTTATTTTCAGGCAAGCAAGTGTAAAATGGCCACAGCGAGACATTTCAGAGAGGGAGGGACAAATCCCTTACTCTGGAATTTGATTGGTTGCTGGAAAGCGAGTGCATTAACGTCGACGCTGATTGGACGAGACGAACGGGTCAGTCCTAAACTTGCAGCCCATGATTGATTTAAAAGGGG